CCTCCGGGGTTTCATTCCCCCGGGTTATCTTTTTCTCCGGGGTTATCATCCCCCCTGGGTTTATAACCCCCCGGGGTTTCATTTCCTGGGTTATCAACCCTTTTGGGTTTATTTTTTGGGGTTTTATCTTTCCCCTGGGTTACATCCCCCGGGTTTCAACCCTCTGGGTTATCTTCCCTCCTGGGTTTTCAACCCCCCCCCGGGTTTATCAATCCTTAGAAAATAATTCGAAGAAAATAATTTAGTGATAGTTTTTTCACGGTATCTCCGTGTTAACCGTTTTTGTGTGTACAGGGTTTTTCGTGTGTTTACGTGTGTACCTCACAGCTTCCCTTTTTGTCCTAAAAAAATTACGTTGGTTGCTTTGGGTTTGCGTGTGAATAGAGCCTGTATGTGTAAACAGATTGTTGTATTTACACAGCTGGTGTGTATGTGTGCCGTTTTTTATGTGTAAGGACGCAGTGCGTCGGTGTCGGGGGAAAATAATGAATTTATGTTGTAGGGGCGGGCTTGTTGACAAAACTAAGATTGAGTTACACCACGGGGGCTGAGAGGGAAGAGGCTCTGGTAGGTGGGGATACACTGACGAGACTTTAGCACTTTAAAGGGGCTAAATTTTGATTAGAGTGATACCTATGCATGACCAGACTTTTATTAAGGGAACATTTCTTCACCCTATGGATCTTTTGGATTGTGAGATATTGGTGAAAAACTGCTATGTAAACAGAATTGAAAGAGTAAACAAATTACGTAGACGAGAAGGAGTCTATGTGAAAGATATATTTTACTGTATAGAAATGTTGAATTTATCACATAAAACAGTAGACGTACTATTTATTAACACGGAGAACAGGATTCTAGCAGTTAATCTTGTTTTTGAGTTACATTCAGCAACGTCTGAGAAATTCATTGTGGAAGAAAAACAGCTGTCTTGAAAATCTTGAAAATTCTACACAAAATATTATCCTCCTTGGATATTTCAACCTTCCAAATGGGAAATGGAAGAAGGTAAATAACGGTATGGGCCACTTACCTTTTATATCCTACCTTTCTCCCCCCTCCCATCCTTTTCCAAGATTTCTATCCTCACCCATCCTTCTTCCTTACCCATCATACCAAAGCTCTGGTCATAAGAAGAAGAAGAATAGCGGTATACTAGAATACCATAAAAAACACTGTAGCTTATCAAACACATACCAGAGAGCTAATGAATCTTTCTGAAAAGCTTGCTTTAAATCAACAGATAGCAGAACCTACAAGAAAATACACAAGATCTGATCTTCACAAACAATCAGGAACTAATGAGAGATATTTGAATCTCATATATAATATATTCTGTTTACAGCCTCATAGAAGCACGAACTAGTATGAATTCAGGAGCAGAGAACTCCCGAGATAGTCATTAAGAAGGAACTTTAAGTAAACTTTACTTCGATGTTTGGAGAAATAAGTGGGAAAATAAATTTTGAACTACGTGACATTATCTGGAAAATAACAGAAAGACACAATACCGTGACGGGAACAATACACAAATTACCCGCACACAGGAGGGAGGAGCTTACGACGACGTTTCTGTCCGATTTTGACCATTTACAAAGTCACATTGTGATAGTGTGACTTTGTAAACGGTCCAAGTCGGACCGAAACGTCCTCCTTCCTATGTGTGGGTTATTCGTGTACCTGGAAAAGAATCACCGATATACAGCAGAAACCTAAATATTCATACCAGACGAGAAAGCACAAACGGAACCAAGAAAACGTCCAAGAAAATGAAAAAAAATCTAAATATTCCTGTGGAAATAACGCATTACTCAGGGGCGGTTCCTCCACTAATGACGAAAAGGAATAGAAAGAAAACTTAAGTGACCAGAAATTACTCCATGTTCAGTAATCCACTAAACGATAACAGTGAGGAGAAACGGAAATTTTCATTACTTCAGCCTAAACTACAAATCATATACCTGATATGAGCACAGATAACAAAGAACTTCAAAGAGTAATACAAAACATGACCATTAATGCAGCACTTGAGGCAGTTTTCCCTGAGATACGTTTATTGTCTTCTCTGAGGATGAGGGTGGTACCTCCCTATATATATATATATATATATATATATATATATATATATATATATATATATATATATATATATATATATATATATATATATATATATATATATATATATATATATAATATATATATATATATATATATATATATATATATATATATATATATATATGCAAAACAACCACTCTGAAAGAATAGAGAAATTCCAAGCGCTTTCGTGACTACTCACATTATCAAGGAACTATGAAAGTGAAGCATCCAAGGAAGCTATATAAGGGGTCGGCCAGCACCTCACTATCAGATCCCACAACGGTTAAACACGTGACGCACGGCGAGCCAACTTGGATAGGTCCTTTGCAAAACTCACCCCCAAGCTATTTATTTGTCCAGTGTACTATTAAATTCTTCCCAAATTCTATTAATTATAAATGGATCTAATTTATATAAACCAAAGGAAATATTCATATTATTGTCAAAACTGCTTTTTATGAAACAAGATTCAATTATATTCCTGTCGACCATGGACTTGCTTGATACTACTTTCTCAACTTTTTGAAAATCAATTGGATGGTTAAAATCTCTTACATGAATAAATAGAGCATTGGAATCTTGTCCAGTTCTAATGCTATATTTATGTTGTTTTAATCTTAGTTCGAGATTTTTACCAGTTTGACCGTAATAAACTTTATCGCAAATTTTACAAGGAATCTTATAGACACATCCATCAGCATTTTGGGGGGAATTCTTAATCAAAAGTTTTTTTACTGTATCAAGATTTTTGAATACAACTTTAATATTAAAAGTCTTAAGAAGAGAAGGCATATCAACCAAGTTTTCATGGTAAGGGAGAACCAACATATTTTTAGTTGAATAAGGCTGGTTGCCCTTTTTTGGATTATAAAAAGTGTTCCTAGCAACTTTAAAAGATTTATCAATTACATTTCTTGGGTATTTTAAATCATTACCTATTTCATAAATTTTGGATATTTCCTCATCTATGAACTCAGGACTACAAATTCGTAAAGCTCTCAAAAACATGAAAACTTGGTTGATATGCCTTCTCTTCTTAAGACTTTTAATATTAAAGTTGTATTCAAAAATCTTGATACAATAAAAAAACTTTTGATTAAGAATTCCCCCCAAAATGCTGATGGATGTGTCTATAAGATTCCTTGTAAAATTTGCGATAAAGTTTATTACGGTCAAACTGGTAAAAATCTCGAACTAAGATTAAAACAACATAAATATAGCATTAGAACTGGACAAGATTCCAATGCTCTATTTATTCATGTAAGAGATTTTAACCATCCAATTGATTTTCAAAAAGTTGAGAAAGTAGTATCAAGCAAGTCCATGGTCGACAGGAATATAATTGAATCTTGTTTCATAAAAAGCAGTTTTGACAATAATATGAATATTTCCTTTGGTTTATATAAATTAGATCCATTTATAATTAATAGAATTTGGGAAGAATTTAATAGTACACTGGACAAATAAATAGCTTGGGGGTGAGTTTTGCAAAGGACCTATCCAAGTTGGCTCGCCGTGCGTCACGTGTTTAACCGTTGTGGGATCTGATAGTGAGGTGCTGGCCGACCCCTTATATAGCTTCCTTGGATGCTTCACTTTCATAGTTCCTTGATAATGTGAGTAGTCACGAAAGCGCTTGGAATTTCTCTATTCTTTCAGAGTGGTTGTTTTGCATATTTTGAAATCACCTGTTTCCTGTGATCTTATTGCATATATATATATATATATATATATATATATATTAATATATATATATATATATATTATATATATATATATTATATATATATATATATATATATATATATATATATATATAATATGGTGTTTCACTCGTAGGAGGCCCCGAGTTATCGTTTATTGCAGACATACTATACAGACAAGACAGTTGCAACTACGTGAGTACCAACTCGGGGCCTCCTACGAGTGAAATACCCTGTATATATGAGCCTAAAATATTACTAGTACGAGCACTCAGTATCTTGTGCAGAAAGATCATAGATCTAGGTGAAACACTTGAGGCCTTAAAATGTGCATACGCAACTCCTCTCCATGAAGAAGGTATTAGAATACTGGCAAAAAAGTTACAGACCATTAGCATCATAACAGTCAGTGAATGGGTGAATTAGATGCCACGTTATAAACATTAATAAGAAGGATGACCTACACCACCCGAGCCAACATGGATTTTGAGCAGGAAGAATCATATTTGTCACAGCTACTGAACCATTATGACAAAATCATGGAGACGCTGGAAGAAAATCAAACTGGACATTTAGTCTACTTGGATTTCTCGTAGATTTTGACAATGTGATCATTGAGTGATAGCGCTTAAAATTAAATCAATAGGAAAACCCGAGCAGCGCTGTATGACCCTTGTGTTTTTAGCGCTTGATTTTGATGATCACAATCATAATAATAATAATAATAATAATAATAATAATAATAATAAGAAGAAGAAGAAGAAGAAGAAGAAGAAGAAGAAGAAGAAGAAGAAGAAGAAGAAGAAGAAGAAGAAAAAGAAGAAGAAAAAGAAGAATAGGTATAACCAAAAAATTAGGCAATTAGATATTAAATTTTATTTACAACAGGCAGTTGTAAATAAAATCTGGTCTCAGTAGTTAAACGAGCTCAGTAATCCAAACCACGTTCCTGGAGCTTTTCCTGTCTCTCATCTGTGAGGGAAAAGCATATAATTCTTCCTTCCTTAAGTTTATTTCCAGAATTTAAGCAGCTGCAGCCCCAGTTGCCAGGCCCAGAATGATCCTAAGCAGCGCTGTCTGTTGGCCATATCTGGAGTTGAAGTTGTCTCCCAGACTTTCTGATAGAGGTTATGCTGTTGATTCTTTGTAGAACTGTCATCACCTGGTATCTGTTGCCAGAGACATTCCTGAACAAACACATCTAATCTCTCCACATCATTACTCGTGAAATCATCGGGAGACGATACCTCTAGGAAAACTGCACGTATCCTGAAGACAAAGAAGATGAAAAGTGAGGTAAGCCATTTCACCCTCAACTCCTCCCCAGACTAGGTAAGGGTAATCAAACAACGAACTTGTTCTTCGATGTTTGGATTGTTTATTTTGTTCAGTTAATGACGAGAGCCAGTAAGTATTAGAGTACTTTATATTTTATCCACACAATAAGGTCCTCTTCAGAAGACTGAGAGCAAGAGTAATATCACTGCCTAGTGTTGTATTTACTGACGTCTTGTTATCATTATTATTAATGTTATATACAAAATTTTATTATGATTGTTGTTGTTATTATTGTAGCTACTGACAAGTATGACAACACAAACAAATTACAGAACAATCTTTAATTTTGGGCAATGTTTCGCTCTGTGTAGAGCTTTATAAAGCTTGGTTTACAGCTTGAGTCTCTATTTCAAGGGTATATACACGCCATGAGGTGTATGTCTTTCAGTGTATATTCACTTAGAGACTGTGTATTCACTCAATGCATATTCTCTCAGTGTATATTCACTGAGAAACAGTGTAAATTCCTTTTCCTTAAGATGGTTAAGTAGTCCTGACTGATAGCCAACAGGTGATATTCACTCTCAGTGTTACTCGTGCAGCGAGATAGGCTCTGCAGCCCATAAACCAGCCTATATCTTTTTTCTTTAAACGTAAACGATTGTACATTAATTTTTTCCCCATTTTTCTCGGCCAGGGTGGAACTTACATTCCCGAGTTCTCAAAGGTTTTATACTGAATAGATGAAGACAGTTAGGTAGTGTGTAACAAGCGGACGGAGGATCAAGTCCCCATCACAACCTGAAGTAAATAATCTACACGGGTTTATCTTACATAAAAGTATAATAAAAATCCTCTGTGAAGGAGTGAAATTTATTTTCCTGAATTTTAAAAGATTATTTCACCAAAAAAATCAGTGCAAGTAAGCCAGACGATTTAAGGACAAGACTTTATTATTTTTTTCCCCTGGGTTACTAACCCTTCAGGTCAATAAACATTATAAAATCCTGTAAAAGGACAAAAAGGCACAATACCGTGACTGGAACAATACACAAACAAGCCGCACATAGGAGAGAAGAACATACGACGACGTTTCGGTCCGACTTGGATTATTTACAAGTCACTCTAACACACGAAGGTGTATTAGAGGCAAAAGAGCGTTTAACTTGCTTCACAAAATGGAGCATTCTAAAGTTTGCAGAGCATTTTGTACTGAGAGGTGTAAATCCCTCAGTGAATAGATGTTGAATTTTTTTTGTAATCCCTACTTTAGGGATTTAAGTATCCTTGACTGGTGATTTATAGGTGATATGCAGTCTTAATGACCCTTGTGTAGTCGATATGTCTTGACCATAATAAATCAATCTGATGCACGAGGTCAGAGAAAAATTATGAATTATATATAACCCAAACGTATTCCTGTTGCTCATTTAACGTTTTCCTGTTTCCTCTTTTTACGTACTCCTGTTTTTTTGCGTATTCCTGTTGCCCTTTAAACGTATTCTTGTTACCCCTTTAACGTATTCCTGTTGCCCCTTTAACGTATTATTGTTACTCCTTTAACGTACTCCTGTTGCCCCTTTAACGTATTCCTGTTGCACTTTTAAGTGCTTAGTTCCTGGGCATTTTGTGTACCCATATGCTATGTGCTACCCTCTACTGAATGACTATAGGGATGTACAGTAAACTAGCTCCGTCCACTGGATAATTATAGTGTGCATAATTTACTAGCCGCTACCGTCCGTAAGATGGTTTTGGGATGTATAACATGCTAGCCACTACCCTCCACAGGATGGTTATGTGGCGCAGATGGATAATGCGTGCACAATAGACCATCTTCTACCTTCCAGAGGATGGATATGGGGTGCAAGTTTAACCTAGCCTAAACTAGATAATCCAGTCCGCAGGAGAGATATGATAATAGACTAACCGCTGCCCTTCCCTGGATGGATGTAGAGTCCATAATAAACTAGCCGCTACCGTCCACTAAATGGGTATATGGAGCATAAAAATCTAGCCGCTACCGTCCATTGGATATATATATATATATATATATATATATATATATATATATATATATATATATATATATATATATATATATATATATATATATATATATAATTTGCATTAGAAATTAGCCTCTTTGGCAACAAAGTCTGTTCCCGAGTCGGTAGTCAGTGATCCTACAGTCTCCGGGGTGACATCAATAAGGAATGAGACACAGAGCGGCAGTACCATGGCCAAGCGAAACCAAACGCTGCATAGCAGGAATAGCTTTGTATCCCCGATGGTGTTGCATGACCGTCTTGCTTGAGTTGTGAGGGACCAGCCAAGATATTTCCTGCCACCACTACCCGCTTCTCAGACCCGAACTACGGTGAACCTGCTCACCCCTTACCCTCAAACCGCTAATTAAAACTTGAGAACGAGTCAGAAAAGGTATTAATGGTAGCCATTAGAGGGAAATGAGCTATGGTCCACACTTCGCTTCGTAAAATGAACCGACTGTGCTGGGTGTTTCAAGGAGAGGGAGAGATCGAATGACTTTTAAAAATCTTCCAACAGCTGTCTAGGCTAATTTGCATTTGCCTTAGTCATTTTAAAAGCATTTCACTGTAAGCTTCGTGATGGATAATGAGTGTTTGGTTTATTTTGTAGAGGACAAGTGTGGCGTATTGTGTGGCTGTCGCCAGGAAATTCTGCGCTATGTTACGTTGCTCAAGTTGAGAATAATATCCTTAGTGTGACTTACGTTAACTTAACGATACAGTTTTTTGTGGCAGGCGGGAGAGACGGAGGGCGAGAGAGAAGGGTGTCAAGAAAATATGACAAGAAAACGTAGCATTTTTACGAATTTCTAGAGTGTATTTCGTGTGATGAGAAGTTTACTAATAGATTTTTAATAAAGTTACAATAACTTGACAGAAAAAAATCACAAGTCTACAAATCAGAAGGAAACGTGGACTGCGTTTCGGTCTTTCTGGGACCATTATCAAGTCCAGGAAGGACCGAAACGCCACCCAGTTTTCCCTGCAAATTTTTCTGCGATGATATCTGCTAAAATATACATGTTGTTTACAAATAAAACAAATACGTTAAATATATTTTACTAGACAAATATCGCGTCAAAAAATTTTGTTTACATACAGAAAAAACTGAAAGATAAACCAGAGGTTTAGCCGGTCCTTCAACTGACATTTTTGACAGTGTCCAGCAATTAACGAACAGGACTTCCACCTCTCTTTCCACTGAATTACCCACACGGGTTTAGCCCTTCTCATTGAACATGGATACCTCTTAATATTATGTCCAGTTAAATAGATGCTGTCGATTCTCATGTTACGTTATCAATAGACGTTAATATTTTGTGACAAATTGACATCTATTGCCTTTTTTTTTTGGGGGGGGGGGAATGTGTTTCTATGTAATTTAAACTATGTGTAATAATTGCACTTATATGTACCTGTGCCTAAATAAATTTACTTAATTCGCTTTTTTGTAGGTGTAATTCAGTGGGAAACAGGAAAGAGTCTTGCCTATCCTCTGCAGCGTAATGGTGGCTAGTTTACTTTTCGCTCCGTATACGTCCAGTGAGAGGTACCCTCTTGTTTACTGTATATAAGAACATAAGAATGGTGGAACACTGCAGAAGGCCTACTGGCCCATACAAGTCCTTATCAAAACCACCACTACCCAAAGCTACCCAAGAATTTGCACCTCCATATTAATCATGTGTTCAGGAGGACTAGAACTGACGGATCCAAGAAAATTAGTGAAGAAAAGATAAAGTGCTTGGTAAGCTTTTCCTGCGCCAACATTTCGCTCTGTGTAGAGCTGTATCAAGCCATGATGTAGCTGGATGAAACTCCAGACAGGGCGAAACGTTGTCAGAATAAAAGTTTGTTTTTCAGTTGTTCGTAGGTTAATTGTGAAAGTTTTAAAATAGAAACTGTAACTTTTTCTCTTCAAAGTAAGTTGTGACAGCGACAGCCAACGTGTTGTATATTTTCAAGGCTACGAACAGGAATTAAGCCAAATACTTCCCAACAATCTTTCTGATTAGGGCAATAATTTGCTCTCTCTTCTACCAGCTCACTATCAATGCTAATACTGTTACTTCTACTACTAATACTACTACTGCTACTACTTTTACTACTACTACTACTGTTACTACTGCTGCTATTATTTACACTACTTCCGTTACCACTACTGCTACAACGACTACTACTACTTCTGTTACTACTACTACTACTACTACTACTACTACTACTACTACTACTGCTATCACTCTCTTCCTCTCGGCCTCCCCTAGAGTATTCTGGTATTCTCTATTTTCTTCGCCTTAATTGTGACTTGACAATTGTCCAGGACGAACCGAAAACTCGTCATATTTTATTTCTTTAAAATACGGGTAATTTGTGAATATCTTTCTGTCTTAAAAGAAAAAAAAAACATTTCTCAGTGTCCTTAGAGTGATTCTTGTGGTTCACAATCCCTTCAAAGGTGTGTTGATGTTGATGTTGATGTTGAAGAAGGGATCTTGATAAAAGTAATGAGAGCTACCTTTTCCATGAATATAAATACAAGGAAAAGTAATAATAATAATAATAATAATAATAATAATAATAATAATAATGATAATAATAATAATTGAGGAAATTGTCTAATCAGAGCACCTTCAGAGTATATTTTTTATTATTAGTAGTAGTAGTAGTATCAGTATTAGTAGCAGTAGATGTAGTTTTATATTATTATTATTATTATTATTATTATTATTATTATTATTATTATTATTATTATTATTATTATGGGGTTTTGGTAAACCTGTACGGGTGATACAACACCGCCTTCAGATCATAACTACGCTCCATAAGAGCGTTTAAGTAAGATATTTCAACTATTTCAAAGAGTAATCCAGTCACTGTTGATACGAGGCTCTAGGTATCACATTCTCTCTCTCTCTCTCTCTCTCTCTCTCTCTCTCTCTCTCTCTCTCTCTCTCTCTCTCTCTCTCTCTCTCTCTCTCTCTCTCTCTCTCTCTCTCTCTCTCTCTCTTATCATATGATATTAAAACGAACTTACTAATTATTGTTTTAACTGTAATGTAATATAGTACTCCTTAGTTTTAATATAGTTTAATATAGAAGGCTTTAGTTTTTGTGTAGCAAGACTGTGGCTAAGAAGACGGCTCTGATATCTGATATTCTTCTCTCCTCCCCAGGTTCGTTAACCCGGGTGGTTAACACTGGATGGTTAACTCTAAATAATCAACTTTGTATAGCTATCCCCTGGTTGTTAACCCTGGATAATTAACCTTGAATAGTTAACCCGGGATACCTATCTCCAGTTGGATAACCCTTGGTCGTTAGCCCCCATAAGTAACCCTCGATTATTAACCCTGAATTGTTAACCCGAGAGAGGTATCCTTGTATAGTTAACCCTGTACACTTAACCTTGGATAGTTAACCCCGGATAGTTAACCCAGCATAGTAAACCAAGTATAGATAACCAGGATAGTTAACTCTATCTGCTTAACAAAGACAGCCAAGAAGTGTGTTTCTCAGGGATATCATAAACCCGACCTGGAAAGGAGAATGAATTAGGTTTAAACCAAAGAGGAGAATAATTGCTCCAATTACTTTGATCAAGATCCCTGAACAAGCATCAAAGCAGCTTTTTTTTATTATTGATTATCATCAATTAATAAAGTCCCTTGTGAACGAAACGTCTTCTCAATAAAATGCATATTCTAAATATTTAGGCGAAATTAAAAAGAAAGTCAAAATACTGTGGCTGGATTTTGTGGATCGTTCAACACCTGGAGAATGGGAGGTAATCAGGTTTGATTCGAGGAAAAGGAGAGCAGGTCGGGTTTTTCCTGA